ACCAGGACCAGGACCAGGACCAGAACCAGAACTAGAACCATATCTAGAACCAGAACCAGAACCATGACCAGAACCAGAACTAGGACTATAACTATAACTATAACCAGGACCAGGACCAGGACCAGGACCAGGGCCGGTCTCTGCTGGGTTGCGTAACTGGGTGTGATGGGAACCGGTCCGCTCCGGTTCCTCCTGTGAGCTTCTGGTGCCGTTGCTCTGGTCTGAGCGGAACGCGGCTCTTCGGACGCTGTTTAAACTAATCTGGTTTGTTTTGGAGTGAATGTGAGCGACAGGCTGGAAAAGGTTTCAGTTCCCAGAACGGAGCCGAGCTGCTGTTTCTGCTTCGTCTAATCGCCTCCATGTGTTCGCTGATGAGCTGCGAAGTCTCAGCTTTCCTGCTCTGCTTTCCCTTCCAGCCTTTCCTGATCGATTTAAAGTCAGAGCGGAGCGACGACGGACGCTTTGTGCTCAAGAGCTCAGTCGGAGCTTCACAGGAAAAGCCCCGAAGGTGTAAAGATTCAAGAGAAAGTCTGTTCACATGAGATCCTCATAAAAACAGCCAGAGTTGGATCTTTGGCCTCCAGCAGGAGGAACAACAAGAATCCTGCTCAGACGGAGAAACTGCACCGATACAGTCAAATAAAGATGAAATCAGTTTTCATCACCGACTCCCTCCGAAACCTGAGCCCACCGAAACCCAGCAGCTGTTGTCTTCAGCCGCAAAAAGGAGAAAACATCTTAAAATGTGGAGCCACAAACGCACAAAACTGTCACAAAGACACACAAAGAAGAAACACCAGAAAACAAAGACGACAAACGAGACTGAAGACGACACGAAATGTCACAAACTGGAAAAATGAGTCACAAAGAATAAAAGCAAAGAGACACCAAACCAATGGCGCCATTAGCTCGCTAGCTGCTAACATGAGCTAATGAGAGACAGAAGACATGCTTCAGTTTAAGTTCTACAGTTTATTTTCTTCACTTTTTGCTTCTGTTCAGACTTTAATGACGTCAGTAAACATTTAATAGTCTGATTATCAGCTGCAGCTCTGGACAAGTCACAGTTTAATGATCCATCACAAGCCGAGGTTCGAGCTCCAGAACGCTTGTCAGGTTCATTTTATGATCAAGATGGATTTCAGAACGTTTCCCACAAACTCAGGTTAAGTTCAAATGGTTCTTGTTTCTGAGTGAAAAGCTGCTAAACTGAAGAACATGAGTGGACGTCACGACACCTGTGAAAGACATCAGGAGGAGAAACCCAACGGATGTTATCAGCGCCGGGGTTCCCCGACTCAAACATCGTCCTTCATCGTGTCCTTCATCATCCTCCCTCATTTTCCTGCTCAGCTGCCAGCTCTGGTTTCCTGAATGGAGGGAATCCCAGATGAAGATTCCTCTGATCGTAACTCATCCGTCAGAGGAACTCGAGGGAGGAAGACGAAGACAGAACGCAGGAACAAAGAGGGAACAGATCACAAAGTTCAACAGGAAACTGAGCAGAAACCAGAAGTTCACCCACGATGGGAAAGAAAACTGAAGAACCGAGTCCTGTTCAGAGTCAGGTCCGACGAGTTTCAAGTTTCATTATTGATGANCAACAGACACACACAGCTCTTCCTGGTTCAGGTCATTGCCAGTTTTGTGCGTTCATACTTTGTGTAGTTGGACGAGGACCCGGGTTGTGTTGAAGGTTCTGTCTGTGTTCTTGCTGTGATTGTAGAGCAGCTGGGTCCGATACGAGGTGTTGGATCCAGGTTCTGGATGGAGTCCAGTGAGCACAGCATCCCAGCGCCATAAATCCCAGGACCCAGTCCAGCGGCGCTGCAGAGTTCTGGACCGGTTCTCCTCATCGTGGGTGAGCTCTCCGCTCCCATTAAAGTACTGAACAGCAGAGTCGGGTCCAGAACCAGCAGGACGGTTTCAGCACATGTTTCCACATGAGGCAGGTGAGCGGGCTCAGGAGGCGCTGCTGCTCTGAAACAACTGCAACTCATTTACAGATGGTTCTCTCCAAGTGAGGCTTCGATGAGATGGAACCGGTTCTGCTCGTCGCCTGGAAGGTTCTGTGGTCCTCACTCGCTGTTGTGGATCATTGAAGCGCAGATCGATCAGAACATTTGGCTCAAAGACCAAAAACATCCGGAACCTCCTGTAAAGAGGTTGTTGTTGCAGTGAGCAGATAAAAGGTT